AAGGAAAAACTTAAGTCATCAGCAAAAAAGGCATTTTAGGTGTAGGGTTGTCCGGAAGATCAAGTTTTTCTGCAGTAGAATCTAAAAATAGATTAACAAAAAAGATAACCACACCACATAAACAACACTGAGTAGTGACTTTCTATCTAAAGGGGTTTTAAAGCACCATAATATCTATATATACATCTATATATATATATATATATATATATATATATATATATATATATATATATATATATATATATATATATATATATATATATTTAATTATCTTCGCTTCCAACAAGGTTGCAAGCAACCACTAATTAGTGTTGGAAGTTACTGGAAGAGAAAAGATGAAGATTGTAGAGCAAGATAATGATTGACAGACGACTTAAAATATTGCAAATTATATGAATCAGGAAAGCAAGATGAAGGAAGCGAATTTTAAAGAACTGATGTTCGAGGAAAAAAACTAGACGAATAAGAGTTTTTGGAGCACTTAGGAACAGTAACAGAAAAAGGATGAGACTTGATTGAATGACGAGTAACACGAGAATGAATTTTAGTAGATGGCACAAGAGACGCTAGCTCCTTCGAGCAGTGCCCATTATAGTATTTGTAGAAAAGAGAAAGAGAAGCAACATTACGACGATGTGACAGAGGTTGAACGTTGGCTGCAAGAGCAGGTCCAACTATGTTTACAATGCGTTTTTGCACCTTGTCTAAAAGAGAAAGGGCATCATTAGAAGATCCGCCCCAGATATGGCAACAGTATTCCATACAAGGCCGGATTTGAGATTTATAGAGATAGAGAATAGAATCCAGAGTAAGAAAGTGACGAGCTCGATAAAGAGAAGCAACTTTAGCAGATGCTAATTTTGCAACGGATTTGATATAAGGTTTCCAAGAAAGATCAGAAGTAAGAGTTAATCCTAGAAGATGAAGGGTAGGAGACTCATCGAGTACATTACCGTTCATAAATAAAGGAAGGTCTAAATTATTGCGATAACGATTGGCCAAAAAATTTTTTATCTGAATTAAAGTTCACCAGCCACTGCGAGCCCCATGCTGTAGGAGAAGTGAGATCATTTTCGAGCTCAGATGCCCCCTGCAAGCAATCAGAGGGAGTTGGCTTCTTATCGTGACAAGAATAAATGGTAGTATCATCAGCAAACAATGCCACCTTAGATGTGAGAATATCTGGAAGATCGTTAATGTAAATTAAAAAGAGTATAGGGCCAAGGGTTGAACCTTGGGGAACCCCTGAGGTTACAGAATAAGAAGAAGAGTGCTGTCCATCAAGGACAACTTTTATACTACGATTGGAAAAGAAGGATTCAATAATCTTAAAGATGTTTCCAGATACACCATAAGAAGAAAGCTTATGGAGGAGACCAGCATGCCAAACTTTATCAAACGCTTTAGAAATGTCAAGAGCAATGGCCTTAACCTCTCCACCTTTATCTAATGCGCGATAAAACCTATCGGTTATTACTGATAGTAAATCAGCCGTAGAACGAGAAGATCGAAATCCATACTGATGATCAGAAAGTAGGTTATGAGATTCGAAATGAGAGATTAAGTGTTTGTTAATTAAAGATTCAAAAACCTTGCTTATGATAGGAAGAAGACTAATGGGACGGTAGTTAGATGAGTCAGATCGCTCTCCAGAATTTTTAAAAATAGGGATAACAGATGCTGCTTTCCAGCAGGCTGGAAAACAAGACTCTGATAAGCACTTAATGAATAGTTTTGAAAAGATAGACGACAGCTCAGAATAACACTTCTGCAAGACTATAACAGGTATGTTGTCCAGGCCGCAAGCTGTAGAAGAGTCTAAGCGGGAAATCACTTTAGATACAGAAGCTGGAGTGATACGAATGTCGAGCAATGGATCAACCTGTTTGACGGGTATATCAGGTAAAACGCAACTAGTGGCATCAAGAGATGATATTGATGAAAAGTTCTTGGCAAACAATTCAGCTTTGTCTTTAGGTGAGGTGACAAAGTCTGAACCATACAAAAGAGGTGGAATTACAGACTTGCCCTTATTATTGATACTATTAAAGATTCTCCAGAAGTCACGAGAGCCTAATTTTTGTGATGAAATACGAGATTTCATAATCTGACAATAGCAGGTTTTGGCGTTAGACAAAACCTTTTTACAATGGTTCCTAGCAGTAATAAGAGACGTATAGTAGTAATATACTATAATATAATAGTAATATAATAGTATAATATAATAGTAATATAATAAGTAATATAATATAATAGTAATATAAAATAATATAAAATAATATAAAAGTATAAAATAATATAAAATAATATAAAATATAAAATAATATAAAATAATATAAAAGTAATATAATATAATAGTAATATAATAGTATAATATAATAGTAATATAATAGTAATATATAATAATAGTAATAAGACGTATAGTAGTATAGCAGTAATAAAGAGACGTATATATATATATATATATATATATATATATATATATATATATATATATATATATATATATATATATATATATATATGTATATATATAAAGAGAAAATATATCTTTAAATAATTGAGTGATTTTGTTCTTCTTGTTAATAATCAACAAGAAGAATAAAAAGAATTATGATTAGGCTCTCCATACAGGGAGAAGAAATAAAACCTTAGTCACCCATTTGTTTAAACCTCTGAACCAAATGAGCTAAATGGAAAAAGATAAACTATCCTTTTGCCATAAGATTATGTCTAAAAATTTAACTTGAAAAACAAAGCATGTTTAGAAATGTTAAGAGTGTTCTTATATAGTGCTGTATGAAAATGTTTAGATAAATAAATCATGTAATTAGAAAAAAATGCAGATGCAGAAAATGCAGATAAAAAATAAATTACAAATAAATAAATTACGAATCATCAAGTGAATGGGGTATGGGAAACTCCATAAATAATAATAATTCAAAATTTTTAAAATTTCCTTGAAATTTCAATATAGGGCTTTTTTTTTAATTAGGGCCCGCTAGCAATATGTATATTTTTGACTGATATAACAAACAAACAGTGTAAGACTTAATTACTACATAATATACAAATGCTTAATTAAGTTTTTTTTTTTTTTTTTTTATTTTAATTCACCTCCTCAAGGCCGAGAAGGCCACTACAGACGAGGAGGCTACTTATTTGTGGTTATAACCCTCTCTCAACTCTATAACTCCGAAACACGAACCTTGACGAACAAGGCCGCTGCGCGGAGAAACGAGTTGAGCGCGGTACCAGGGACGTGGTGGGGATCGAACTCGGAACCACTCGTTATTTAAGTAAATTAAGTAAACAATCTTGATAGTTAATTAAGTAAACAATCTTGATAGATTGCTTATTTTTTTGAGCATTCGAAGTCTGATATCTTATAGTATAAAAAAAGTTTCTATATATAATGAGAGTATCACAGTTGTTAGTACAACAAAGCTAAAAATAAACATTTCCATACAGTATGCCTAGATATATAACTAACTTAAAGTTAATTTAAATTTTGTATTAAAGGTTTATTTTAAATTGGTGTTTAAATCTCTAAATGTGCCTTTAACATCCAAATACTAAAATTATAATAGAATAAAGAAAAACTATTCCAAAATTTATGCCAAAAAAAAGCTAAAATTGTATAAAAAAGCAATACAACACCAAAAAAAAAAAAAAATGTTTTTTTGACCCAAAAAAACGCCAAAAGAAAAAAATGCGTTTTTTTGCAACTCTACACATGCATATACATACACTTACACACTGTACTCCAAAACATTAGTAACCAAATAAAAAAATTTATTTTTTCAATCCTGATTTGTTCTTTCCAAAACACGAACCAGGATTTTCAATCCTGGTTTGTGTTTTGGAGTTATAGAGTTGGGAGAGAGTTGTAACCACAACTATAGTAGCCTCCTTGACTGTAGTTGCCTTTATGGTCTTGGGAAGGTGAATTAAAATGAAAATTAATATGAAAAAATAATAAAAAAATATATATATTGTATTTTTTTTTTTAAATGCTTTTTAAACCAAATCAAACTGTTAAAAGAATTGTAAATAATATGAAAAAAACGAATAAGTGTGTTGTTTTACATTTATCAGCATTTTAATGTAAAAATGTGGTCTTCTTTAAGATAAACAACTAAAAAATTACATTTACAGAAATAAAATAATAATGAAAAAAGACACCAAGTAAAGTAAAAAAGAATAGCATTAAAACTATGCAACAGTAGTTAAATGAATACTACAATACCATTAGATCCTCTTAAAAACACATAAGTGCCTAAAAACTAGCTGTATAAACCTATAGCTCTGTAGCTCTGTAGCTCTGGGTTCACTAAAGTTCCGTTAAATAAACCTATAGCTCTGGGTTCACTAAAGTTCCGTTAAATAAACCTATAGCTCTGGGTTCACTAAAGTTCCGTTAAATAAACCTATAGCTCTAGGTTCACTAAAGTTCCGTTAAATAAACCTATAGCTCTGGGTTCACTAAAGTTCCGTTAAATATAATCGTTCTTTATTAAAAAATATATAAATTAAGGAAAAATTTTTATAAAAACAATCATAACAGATTTCGAAATAAAATTAAAAAATTAAACTCTAATATGTAACTCTGTTACTGTATAGTTGCTCCGTTTTGTAAGAAAATATTTCTTTAAATAAATTTTTTTATATTTTCAAATAAGTAATTTTTTATAAATTTAATTATAATCAGAGAACAATCATTGAAATTTTTTAATTGAAAAAAAAATTATAACAATGTTGCGCTAAATAGAAAAGATAAAAATAAGTCATTTAATAAATATCATCTAAAAACAAAATTTTCAAATTATTTGTTATTGTTTAAAATAAGGAAAATCTTTTTCAGTTATTTGTTTTCAGTAATTTGTTAATTTATTTTTTTTATAAAAATAAAAATAAAAATTCATTGTTTTTGTTTTTTTGCTAAACAAAACAGCCACAAAAAAAACAACATCTGTATATATAAATATTTTTTTTAGGTTTAACTTATTTGAAACTAGCTAGTGATAAGCTTTTGAAGTATAGTACCCCTGATCAAGAAGCTTATAAAAAAATCAACAATTTATTATGTGAGCCTCATTCTCCTGAGTTATCTCTTTTATTACAGTATGTCAATACTGTTAATTCAAATATTGATGCAGAACACAAAGATGAAGATCCAGAGTGGTTTGAAGGTATTGCTCCATCAATTCAATCAAAGAGTAAAGTCATGAAAGAGTCAATGAAAGGAAGGATAAGAGGGTATTTATGGAAGAGTAAAGAATTTATTGAGAAATCTGTATGTTTTAAGTTAACACTTGTTTCAAATTGATATTTTACACAGTTACCTATTACTTTAATGTTCTATTAATATTTATAGGGTTTGTAAGTTTACTGATATTTTTATTTACTGGTCATTTTTTTTTTTGGTAAATATTTATTTAAAAAATTTAACTAATTTTAGCGTACAATAACATAACTCCTAAAAATACACTTTCAGCTTGATACTTCTTGGACAACTTGGTTATCAAATAATCAAGAAATGTTTGAATATACTTCTTGGTGTAGTTTCTTGGTGATTTTAAAATATTATATCTGAATAATACTTTGGTGACTAAAACATATTTCCATTAAATGGTCTGTGAATTATGAAAATACTGAAAAAACTAAAATGATAAATTTTGCCGCAACATAAAATAAGGAGATTCTTTTTTTTTTTTTTTTTTTATAAATCTTTTTATATTTACGATTGCTTGTTTAAATTTGAATAAATATGTCTTTTAGGTGATCGTTTATTGACAATTTTTCTTATTTTAAGCTCTTTCTTGGTCAGAATTCTAATATTTTTTGTGAACATTGAAAGAAATGATGTGTTTTGACAATTATATTAAATTAACATGTACTAGAACAGATTAGGAGTTATAGTAGATTTATTTAGTATTTATTTATATTTAGTAAGCACTTTATCAGAAAAAAAATTTAATTAGAATTAAGTTAACACTGATGAGCAGAATCTAAAGACTCAAAAATAGTATTCTTTAGATTCACAATTAAGGGTAATAAAAAAGTTTTAAAAGTTATATAAAAAAAAGCCAAGTTTCTTTAAACATAAAAATTTAAAGAAAAAAAAAATTATAGCATCTAAAGCTCCTGTTTGGACATAATATGCTGACAAAATCATTCTAATTTCAAATAAAAGAATTTGAATAATTTATAAATCACCTTAACTACACTGTGTTTGCTAGTATATTTTAGTATATTAGTATATTATAGTATATTTTATAGTATATTATAGTATATTAGTATATTATAGTATATTAGTATATTGCTAGTATATTTTAGTATATTAGTATATTATAGTATGTTAGTATATTTTAAAACAAAACAGTATTTCACTAACACTGCACTTAACTTCATTTAACTTTTGCTTTGTTAATTTTCTTAACAAAGTTAAGTTTATTAACAAAGTTAATAAATTTAACTTTGCAATATTTCTACACATTTATTGTTAAAGCCCTAGTAAATTTGGACAACTTTTAATTAAGTTCAGTCTACCCAACTCCTAATCACAGTGTTTTATGTTCACCTAATCACAGTGTTTTATGTACACCTAATCACAGTGTTTTATGTACACCTAATCACAGTGTTTTATGTACACCTGATCACAGTGTTTTATGTACACCTTACTCAAAATCCAATTAAAGTATCCTATTTCAATCTCCTTTAACTTTCAATTACAAAATTTCAAGTTTATTTAGAACTCAATTGAGATATTTTATGTTTTCTAAACAGCAGAATAACCTGAAAATATTATAAATAGTAATTGAGACAATCTGTACAAAAAATGGGCAAATTATTGGTAATGGTTTTAACTATTTACCATTCTGTTGTTGATAAAAAATTTACTTGTAATAAACAAATTACCTGAAAAAGTAAATAAAAACATGATGACATGGTTTAGCCAAGTTGGTTCAGTGCCTTTGTTCAAATAAGTTTTTGCTGATCTCTAGAACAATTAATATCATTATTTTGTATATTTAATCAAATTAGAATAAATAAACATAACTATATAATCCTAAAAGTTATTCATGGTTTAAAAAGTATTTGTTTATTAAATAACTTGATATTGACAAAGATTCTAGTTTAGTTTTTTTTATCCCATCATTTATGTGTTGAAACTAAACAGGTTAAACATCATATAAAATAAATTATGGAATATATATTATGGAGTTTTTAGCTTTTATTTTTTATTTTATATTTTTTATTTAGTTTTTTAGCTTTTATTTTGAATTTGTTTATTATGTTGTAACATCAAATTTACTTATGATTATGTTGTAACTTTTTTTCACTCTTTATAATTGAGAAATACTTATATTATTTGTCGCGTAACATCAATATTTGTTATGTAACACAAGGTGTCAAGTTGTCATTTTTTCTATTTTTTTCTGAGTCTTTTTTAATTCATTTTTTTTCATTTTTTTTGGTGAGTTTTTGTCATTTTTTCATTTTTTGAATTTTTTCAATGGAAATTTTTTTTAAGTATTTGGATTGAGTTAAAGTATATTTTAGTTCAAGTATATTTTTTGTAGTTTGAGTAAGTTAACATCTAATTAAACTTTTTATTTGTCACCTAATATCTCCTAAACTTTTGATTTTTAGTTTTATTTTTATTTGTAACATCATTTAAAAATAATTATCTGTAACAACTATTTAATGTTTAAAAAAAATGAAAATCAAAAGTTCTCTTTTCATTTTTTAAATTTTGAAACCGTGTGTTCAATATTTTTTATAAGTGTAAATAAATATAAAATAATTGTTGTTATTTTTATTATTATTACTGTTATTATATAAAATTTTTTTAATAATTAAAGAATAAAGCTTGAAATATTAAACTGAATAAATATGTGTTCAGTTTTATTACTAATTTTAGAAAACCTTTTTTCCTTCCTCTAGTTTGACATTTTAGATTTTTTTTCTTCCTATAGTTTGGCATTTTTCCTGATGATCTTACAAAAACTGGAAGTAGAAGATAAATATGTTATATCATATCTGATGATCTTATAATAATAATAATTATATATATGGTGATTTTATAGAAGAACTGTAGGACAGTTAGACTAATATCTAAAATCTATTTAAGTAGTTAGACTAGCATCTATCTATTTTAGACAGTTAGACTAGCATCTATTTAAGCAAAACACAAATGATAAAGAAATGAAATAATCACCTACATAAAAAATCTTTTTTTACTTGTAACTCATAGAAGTGTTCTCACCCCAAATATTTTATGAAGGCAATAAAAATTAAATTCAAAATTTAAAATATTTTAGTCATTTATTTAAAATATTTTACTGTTTGTTAAAAATATGCTGTATAAGTTAACATGTGTTTTATATAGGTGTATATATGTGTTTATATAGGTGTATATATGTGTTTATATAGGTGTATATATGTGTTTATTTAGGTGTAAAAAATAGTAATAACAGTAATATTTAAATACATGAAACATTATTGAACAGACTTGTTTATGTTAGATTCAATTATAGTTATTAGTTATTTTTTACAATTATTTAAAATTTTTTTTAGAAACTCCCTTTAAAATGTCAAAAAGAATGCCAACTAATTATATCACTTTTCAAAAGCAAACTTAATGAAGATGATTATTTTTCTCATTATTTTGATCGAACTTCCCAAAAAGAAGATCGTCTTTGTGACAATCGTGGTTGGTTTAGTTGCCAAGGTGCTTTTAATAAAAAATTCTGCAAAATGAGTCATGCTATTAATCCATATTCTTCCAAGGACAGTCGTGTTCTTTTTAGCACATGGAACTTAGACCATAAGTAAGTGAGGAATTTGTCATCTGTTTTAATATCTTTTCTATTTTAATGAAAAGCAATTTTGCTTAATGTGTTAATCAATATTTTTTTAATGATGAGTATGTTATCTTTGCAACACTTTATGATAATTGTGACATTAAAAATGATTTACGATATTAAAAAGAGAGATGCAAGTCAAAAGCTCCAAAACTGGAGAGAGAAAAAAGAAAGAATTGTGTTCAAAAAAAACAAGCTATTCAACAATAGAATATTGATATGGCAATATCAATATAGAATTAATATTGCTCACTTAAAAATATAATTTCAAAGTTTATTGCATATTTGTTTTTTATGTAATGATTGGTTATATTTTCCCCCACATTAGGTTTCCTTAAAGTTTTATATTAATGTTTTTTATGAATTTTTTCAGTTAGAGTCATCATTTAATATTCAAAATATTTTTGACAAACTTTTTAAAAATACTTAATATTGTTTTAAGTACAATAAATTTGGTCACAATTGTTTGGTATTTTTGTTAAACAAAAAAAACATATATTTACAAGTCATATTCATTCTCAGTTATTTTTGTTGCTGAAAAAAGCTTTTTATAAATTTATATAAATCATTCATAAAAATAATATATATTTTTATTATAGAATTATTTTTCCTTGTTTAAAAAACATTCATAATTTTCTTATTTTGTTTTAATTTTCATAATTTTTTTGTAGTTTTCTTTGTTTTAATTTTTATAACTTTTCATTATTAATTTTCTTATTTTTTATTTTATTTTATGAATATAGATATATTATATATATAAAAAATTCTAAAAAATACTTAAAAATTTTTATAAACCAATAAAATAAAAAACAATTAATTTATTTTTAAATAAATGCGTCGGGTTGAGAGGCTTCTGCAATATGACTTTTTTTGAGAATAGCCATTGATAGGGAAGAAGGGGGCAGCTTTGAACGAGGGCAGCTTTGAATTAATGTATTTGTGAAGTATTTAATGTATTTAAATTTGATATATAGAATTATTTTAACATTACAATACTTATCCTCACATCTGTCACTTGAATATGTTGCCATTTGATTAAAAGTGGACAAACTAGACGATATTTTTGTTTTTTAGTACAAATTTGAAGCATTTTGATAAAAAGTTATAAGAGTTTTCTGACCACATTTTTAACAAATGTTGAACTTTATGTTATTTATTATATAGATTATTTTATTCTCTATACAATTATGCAAAAAATTTCATTAAAAAAAATATTTTGTTTCCAAAAATAGGCATTTACTCTCTAAGACGCCATTGGGGAAGTTTTGAAAAAAATGAACGGGACACTTTTGAATCATTGTAATTCATTCTTTCAACTTCCCGCACTTTATTGCTTCATTATTTACGGACTGAGTTTAGTTTATTTAATGATAAAAATGGTTCGAAATTATAAAAAAAAGAGAGTGACTGAAGTCATAGAGGAAGATGTCAATAATGCTGTTCTCCAAGTTGCAAATGAATTAATGAAGCCAAATGAAGCAGCTAGAACCTATAATATAAAACGTAAAAATTTACATTACAGAATAAAGAAGTATAAAAATTCATTATCCAATACCAAGTTAGGTTTGACAAGTAAATATACTGTCGCACAAGTATTTAATGAAGATGAGGAAATAATGTTGAAAGACTATCTAATAAAAAGCTCTAAAATGAACTATGGGTTGACATATAAACAAGCACAGGAATTAGCATTTCATTATGCAATGAAACTTTGCAAATGTCCAAGTAAATGGGTGGAAATAAACAAGCTGGTATAGAGTGGTTGAAAGGCTTCATGAAATGCCACCAAGAACTTTCACTTCGAAAACCTGAAAATACAAGTTTGTCTCGCTCAACAAGTTTTAATGAGCACAATGTAAATCAGTTTTTTGATAACTATGAAAAAGTATTAAAAAAACATCATTTCACTGCTGATAGAATTTATAATATAGATGAAACCAACATAATGACAATAGTACAAGTACCCCATGTTATAGCATCACGTGCAACAAAACAAGTTGAACAGTGTGTATCTGCTGAACGTGGACAACTAATTACTATGTGTGGTATAGGAAATGCCATAGGAAATTTCATTCCACCTGTCTTCATATTTCCAAGAGCATGGTTTCATGACATCATGTTAAAAGGAGGACCTCCTGGTTGTATTGGTTATGCAAAAAAGTGGCTGGATGACAGGGTCACTGTTTTTAAAGGTTCTAGAACATATAAAAAAACTAGTCAGGTGTTCGAAAGAGGATCCTGTTTTACTCTTAATTGATAATCATGAAAGCCATTGTACATTAGATACCATTAATTATTGTTTTGAAAATGGAATGGTGGTTTTAACATTTCCTCCTCACTGCACTCACAGAATGCAACCTTTGGATGTGGCTGTTAATGGTCCTTTTTTATTTCTGGTAATTCACATCAAATTCTAAATAAGCCTCAAGACATAGTTATGCAAAAAGAAAATTTTAAAGTGGGTTATAAGAATTATGAGCAAACAAATATAAGTAATGCCTTACAATCACAGCACACAATAACACCTGAATCTGTAAGGCCATATCCAAAAGCTCTACCTCGTAAAAAAACTAATAAAGGCAGAAAAAGTGGGAAATCTAAGATTCTTACTGACACCCCAGAAAGAGAAGAAATAAAAAAATCTTATCTTTTACGGAAGCCAAAACTTCAAACCTCATTAGGAATTTCAAAACAAAAAACATCCAAAATTGGATCTAAATTCTCAAAAGCAAAACTAAAACGAAAAATACTTTAATCTATGTTGAGTTATCGTAACTTTAAACTATTTTGATTTCTGAAAGTTCAAATTTTGTTGCTTGTAACGATGCTTTTAAAATTTAATGTTATATATATATATATATATATATATATATATATATATATATATATATATATATATATATATATATATATATGTATATATATATATATATACTTTTTTTTTCCACAGTTTTTTTTTTTTTTTTTTTTTTTTTTTTTTTTAACATCTTCACTTCCAACAAGGCTGCAAGCAACCACTATAAGAGTTGGAAGTTACTGGAAGAGAAAAGACTAAATCTGTAGAGCAAGATAACGATTGACTGATAACTTAAAAGATTGCAAATTATATGAATCAGGAAAGCAAGATGAAGGAAGCGAATTCCAAAGAACTGATGTTCGAGGAAAAAAACTAGAAGAATAAGAGTTTTTGAAGCACTTAAGAACAGTCACAGAAAAAGGATGAGACTTAATTGAATGGCGAGTAACACGAGAATGAATTTTAGTAGATGGCACAAGGGACGCTAGCTCTTTAGAGCAGTGCCCATTATAGTATTTGTAGAAAAGAGAAAGAGAAGCAACATTACAACGATGTGACAAAGGTTGGAGATTGGCTGCCAGAGCAGGTCCAACTATGTTTACAATTCGTTTTTGCACCTTGTCTAAAAGAGAAAGAGCATCATTAGAAGATCCGCCCCAGATGTGGCAACAGTATTCCATACAGGGACGGATTTGAGATTTATAGAGATAGAGAATAGAATCTGGAGTAAGAAAGTGTCGAGCTCGATAAAGAGATGCAACCTTAGCAGATGCTAATTTTGCAATGGATTTGATATACGGTTTAAAAGAAAGATCAGAAGTAAGAGTTAATCCTAGAAGATGAATGGTAGATGACTCATCTAGTACATTACCATTCATAAATATAGGAAGATCTAAATTATTACGATAACGATTGGCCGAATAAAATTGAGTTTTATCTGAATTAAAGTTCACCAGCCACTGTGAGCCCCATGCTGTAGCAGAAGTGAGATCCTTTTCAAGCTCAGATACCCCCTCCAAGCAATCAGAGAGTGTAGGCTTCTTATCATGACAAGAGTAAATGGTAGTGTCGTCAGCGAATAATGCCACCTTAGATGTGAGAATATCTGGAAGATCGTTAATGTAAATTAAAAAGAGTATAGGGCCAAGGATTGAACCTTGAGGAACCCCTGAAGTTACAGGATGTGAAGAAGAGTGTTGTCCATCGAGGACAACTTTTATACTACGATTGGAAAGAAAGGACTCAATAATCTTAAAGACGTTACCAGCTACACCATAAGAAGAAAGCTTATGGAGAAGACCAGCATGCCAAACTTTATCAAAAGCTTTAGAAATGTCAAGTGCGATAGCCTTAACCTCTCCACCTCTATCTAATGCACGGTAAAACCTATCGGTTATTACTGTTAGCACATCAGCTGTAGAACGAGAAGACCGAAATCCATATTGATGATCAGAAAGTAAGTTATTTGATTCAAGATGATAGATTAAGTGTTTGTTGATTAAAGATTCAAAAACCTTGCTTATGACAGGAAGAAGACTAATGGGACAGTAGTTAGATGAATCAGATCGCTCTCCAGAATTTTTGAAAATAGGGATAACAGATGCTGCTTTTCAGCATGATGGAAAACAAGACTCTGATAAGCACTTGTTAAAAAGTTTAGAAAGTATGGATGAAAGCTCCGGAGAACACCTCTGCAAGACTACAACAGGAATGTTGTCAGGACCACAAGCTGTTGAAGAGTCTAAGCAGGAAATTACTTTAGATACAGAAGCTGAAGTGATGCGAATGTCAAGCAAGGGATCAACCTGTTTGACGGCTATGTCAGGTAAAACGCAACTAGTGGAATCAAGAGATGATATTGATGAAAAGTTCTTAGCAAACAATTCAGCTTTGTCTTTAGGTGAGGTGACAAAGTCTGAACCATACAAGAGAGAAGGAATAACAGATTTGCCCTTATTATTGATACTGTTAAAGATTCTCCAGAAGTCTCGAGAGCCTAATTTTTGTGATGAGATATGAGATTTAATGACCTGGGAATAGCGAGCTTTGGCGTCAGACAAAACCTTTTTACAATGGTTTCTGGCAATAGTGAACAGATGTCTGTTTTCTGGAGAATTGTTTTGCTGATAGATATGGAAGTAACGGTTTCGATTAGAAATTGCTGCAGCGC